AAATAATAAATTAAAAATTATTATTTTTTTTTTTGAAGAATATTAAATACAAAAGGTTTTTATTAAATTTTTATTTGTTACCAATATATTAAGAATCTTTACAAAGTAAATTAATTTTAGCCTATTAAAAATAAAAGTTGACATATGTGAACCTTTAAAAATCCAAGTAAAAAAAAAATGATTACTAGCTATTAGTTAAATTATTAATTATACATATATGCTTCATAGGTATTAATGATAAAGAGAAGTATGATGTTTAGATTTTGAATTATAGCTTGGATCCATATAATCATATGGTTAAAGTGAATATAAATAAGGGTTATCAGTTTTATTTAAATTGGTGATCCAGATATCAATATGACATTATTAACTTGTATTGATCTTTTGATGAAAATAAGCTGTTCATAATTTTTTTGTTTTGAAAATTTGGGAGTTAAATAAGACAAGAGAGCAGTTCTGTGGTCATTTCTCTTGAATAATAATAGAGTAATGGTTTTATCAGATATCCAAGATAAAATTGCCAATAATTACATGTTTTCTGATATACTGATTAACAATCTAAACTTTCAACAAAGCAAATTCTTATGTAATTAATATTGCCAGTCAAATTGTCATATTTAATAATCTTTTTTTATTATTTAACTGACTTGGCATGTGAATATTAATTGTAGAAAAGTATGCCTAAAATTTTGATAAAGTAATAATCCATTTCTCTTATACTCTAACTTTCAATCAAAGAAATACTACCTTGGTCTTTTCTGAGTTAAGTTTTTTAAAATAAGAAAAGAAGTCTTGACAAGAAGTCTATACTTTTCATTTAGGAAGTCTTTAACTTGAATAAAGTTAATAGCTTGATAGAGATAAGGTAATAACAAATTAGAGGATTGATAAAATGAATATAAAAGAAAAAAAGAGAAACCTAGAAAGAAAATCGTTAAAGAAAAAAAAAAAACTGTTTATTGATAGGAAAGGAAATTTGAAAAAGGAAAAAAAGGAGAAGTGAAAAAAAATAAATTGTTTTTATATTTGTAATTACCAGATATATATAGGATCTCACAAAAAGAAGGTTGGCAACTCCAAATCTTCCTAATCCTTGTCTTAGACTGTTGTCATATGCAGAAGTTAATTTACTTATACTTCTCTAAACATGAGTACTTTTTCTAAACATACTATTAAACAATTAGAAAAGTCTCATATAATGTTAGCATATCTTAAACTTAACTTGCTGCAAGCTCTCACCTTTAATAAAAGAAAAGAAGCAAAGGGGAAAGAAAAAAATTTTCTTAAAAAGAAAGTTTTTTGACAAAATAGAGGTAAATGGGAAAGAGTTTTTTTTTTTAGTATTATATTATTATATTATAAATTTTTTAATTTTATTAAATTATTTAATTCAAATTATATAATATTAATTAACTTTTAAATAAAATTTATAACAAGTAATAATTATTGTTATTAAATTTTATCAAATTATATTATATTAAGTTGATATAATAAAAAATTAATTGTTAATTTTTATTATTATTATAAATAAATAAATAAAAACTGTTATAATATAATTTTTGATTTTGCAATACTTATAATAGGATTTTAGGTTTTAACAGAAAGGATGAAAGATTTTATTGATTAAAGATAATGTAATAAGAATAGTGATTTTTTTATTAAGTTTTTTTTTTAAAAAAATGAGATTGAAAATTAATTATTTTTTAAATAATCTTTGTAATGTATGATTGTTATTTTGCAAATCTTAAGCCATTATACAAATCATTTTTTTTTACACTATACTGAATTTATATGATAAATTAATTAAATTTTATTAAATACTCTATAATTATCCATAAAATTATGATATTATAATAATACCAAATAATATAAATTGAATCAAACAATAATGCTTTAACACATTTCATTGTTATTAAATTTAAATATATTTAACAATTGAATGATATTATTTGAACTAGTGTTATCGAATATACTATAATTAATGCAAAAAGATAAAGTTAAAAAATCTTTTAAAAAATATTTTAAAATTATTTAATATATAAAAACTTTATAAATTAGCTATGGTATATTCAGTATATATATATTAGAAAAACCAATTTCAGATAAATATAATATAATGGAAAAACTAGTTAAAAACAGATAACTCATCTTTTATTTTCTTAAATTAATGAAATTACTGTATATTTTTCAAATTAATAATTATATTTTTATTAAAATTAATTTTCAGTTTTCATATACAGTAATAATATAATAATTTTGTATTTTGTAATCAATATCATAAACTGCACTGTTTAGACGAAATACAATTTTAATCCATATATTCAGCAATTTTAATTCGTTTTAAATTTCTTGATAGCAATTTAAACACGCGATAATTTGTTTTCTTACATTGTAACTGTCGGAATAAGAATGCACCTATCACTGTCGTCAAATATAGGATTTTTCTGAAATCCTTTCCTAGCGAAATTTCTTTGCGCGATTTCAAAACTTTAAAACACCTTTTCCGAGAATTGTCTGTCAGTTCATAAACATGAATGGTTCAAATAAAAAAGGCAACCAAGAACGTTGACAAATTGTTTCGATTACTCTCGTAGGACGAAAAGTTCATATGAATAAAATCAAGCTTTCATGGTTTATCCAATTTTACGCGCCCGAGCATGTGCCTTCCAATTTCGAACTTTAGAAGACTATAGAGTCATATGATGCACACTCGGTTTCATCCATAAATTGATTGCAAATGTTGGTTTTTGCTTCAATGTAAAATCGATAGAACGTTACTATTAACTTTGCGTACGGATTCCATTAGAAATCGATGCATTTCCAGGGGTCACATGGCGAGGTCATTCAGTTTTGCGCTGACAAAACATAATCTAATGCGATTGCTCATGTGCTGTCTGACAATTTTCGCATGACACATCATAATTAGAAAGAAATTCTTTATTTTCAGACTTTAGTTCCATTACGGGTCGCTCATTTATTACTTAACGTCCAATGCTATAGGGAACCAAGTCAGGTGGAAGATGCAAAATGATGATCACTTTGGCACATGAAAAAAACAAAATTCTTGGTACAGCGCATGCTCTAATATATTTTAAAGCGTTCTCTACTCTTACTTGTATTTGACCCATTGAGAATTTGTTTTCATAAATACCGTCCCCGTGATTATTGTGTTTGAGTGTATTGTTAAATAAATGCATCAAGAAAAAAATTTCTGGCCATATATACATGTACCCATATTATGACGGATTGGAACTCCGATATTTGTTGCCATGTGCCACTTCCAAGATAAACTTTAATTGTGCAAACAAAGGAACCTAGTCTAAAAAAATTTTTACATGACGGGAATAGTACACATTAAATCACGTGAACCTATTTATTATATATATAGAGAGACGACTACCATTCTTCGAGAACAAAACTACTCATTGTGTTCGATACATCAAATATCATAAAACATGCCTAGGTATAATAACAGGAAATATAAACGTGGCAGATTTAGCGCGGAGGTAATAATAATAATGAAAATCTTCATAACCACTATGTGTCATTTGCTTTCAAAATTGTCTTATTAAAAAAATGAATTAGGAGGATGCAAAATTGAGAGAATATGTTGAAAAAAATGGTGCCAGAAACTGGAAAAGAGCCTCGTGTCATGTCGTCACGCGAGATGCAAAACAATGCAGAGAGAGGTATGAAGAATTTTCTTTCGTTCGCGTCTCTATTATGTGGGAATTTAACTTGACATGTCATCCCCTTTTTATAACCACGTTAAAAGATGGTGTGGTCATCTTACGCACGGAGGTAAGTAATGTAGTGTTTCGTGTCTTGTTAGTAATATAATAGTTTTTTAAAAAATGTTTCTTTTAATTTCCTATTAGTTAATAAGGGTCGATTTACACCTTCGGAGGATAATTTAATAACCTCCTTGGCCCTTTCTGGAAGCGTCGGATGGGCAGCCATTGCGGAGAGAGTGGGAAATGGACGTACTGCTAATTCAATTAAAAACAATTGGAATCAACGTTTAAGTAAGATGTTAAAATATAATCAGAATGGACATGTGGAAACTCAGCATCCTGAGGCTGCACAGCAACAGCCCTCAGTCGTTGTTCAAGCGAGTGATCATGCTATTGAAGGTACTGAGTATTCTTCAAGTGTCGATCGGAGAAATATACCTGATATTGAGTGTGCACAGGGCCTATTGCTTCTAGTTACCACCAGTATGAAAGAAAGTATGAAAGAAAATGACTCTGCGGAACGCAGAAGTCCCAAAGCAGAAGAGTATATACCTTTGATAAATGACAGGCAAGTGATTTCATCCGGATTTTCTTTTAACGGTACTGCAAAAAATTTACATGAATATTCACTTATAGGACGCAAGATAAAATGTCTATTGCTTATCTGTTGTTGGAGTCTACCTGACTAGCCGCCAAATCAATACTACAATTTTGGAATTCAGAATTCCATGACGACTATAAACAAGTTTCATATATAATAACCCCTTTGCTTTTGTTTTCTTATAAAAAAATTTCTCTAGTCGTTCCGGATCCCGGTTAAACATAACTTTTTGGTATAATATATTAGCCACCGGTTTTCCTTGTACATTTTAATATTATATAATTAAAGTTTAGCATTAATCTTCTATTCTTTCCTAATTGTATTCTCATGTATTGTGAAGTACTCCGAAGAATTTTTTTTCTAAAAGAGGATAAGAAAATCGGAACTTTCTATAACGGCGAAGAGACTCCGTAATTGCTGCACAAATGTGCACACATATTGTACTTGTATTTGTACGTACTCATCCTGCTGCGTTAAATCGATAACGCGATAAGTTTAATGAGCAAAATTGGATTAATGCGAAAAGAAACATTGATCCTTCAAAGAAAAAAATCTTTCAAGTGCTTGCTTGTGCATAGGACAATAAATTTATTCCTGTGATCGCCGTTATCAAGAATTATTCTAAATGAGAAAGGTTGATGATCTGTTCTGTACAGTTTACATGACGTGATTGATCGGTTTTCATTGACAAAAATTTCGAGAATTTAGAACAATAATTGCTTACAAAATATAGCTAAGATTATAAATATTGCTGTGCTTGCATACAAGATATAACCACGCTTACTGCTAATAACGAATATGCTGTGCAAAGTTTGATTCGAAATCACATCTTCCATTGGTTTCGACGATTTTCTCACGAAAAAAATTATTGATTCCCTGTATCTCATTGAAAATTTAAATTTTTTTAAATCTATATTTATCACCTCGATCAAAATAAGAACTTCATCAATGATATATAAACCAAAATATACAGTATAAGGAATTGGATCCTGAGAAAAAAATTCATAGAATCTTTTGAAGCAACTTAACTTTAAATAGAAATTGCAATTGCACGTACAGTAGGTATGTGATTCTTGTCTAATTACAATAGCATTGGTTTTACCAATGAAAAAAAATATCGTAATATCATTAGTCAATGTACTGTAAAATAAGATGCAAATTAATTGGCGATAGCGATAATTTACTAGTCAATAGTTAAACTTTATAATACACTGTTATTTTGTATAAAATTATAAAGAATTTTTTACTTGACATTTTTGTCGATTATCAAAAATATTGTATTGATGAATTGGTTTCAATCAACAAGCATCATGTGACATTTTTATAATATAGTATATATAACACATGATATTATATAAATAAAACATTGTTATTTAAGAAAAAAATTTTTTATCATAAAAATCCTTTTATAAAATTTTTTTCTATTATATCATATATACAATACATAATAATAGATTTTTTATCAAAACATTTTACTTTGTGAATTTAACTAAAATAATACATTATGATATTAAAATTTACATATAACCTTAAATACACAGTGGCATGCTATAATATTGTAAATATTTTTTAACTTGTATTATTCAAAATTAGATAAATAAATAATATATGAAATTTTTATGACATGTTTGACAAATTCAAAAGTACAATTCACTAAAATTCCATGTAATTTTATAAGATTTACAAAATTAATATATATGTATATATAAACTAGAACTTTTATTATTTTATTTGATCAGATAATTTTTTTTAATATTTTAATATTTTAATATTTTTTTAATATTTATATAAGTAACAACTTAATCAATATACAATATTAATAATTAATAAAATTTTAAAAATATTTTATATTATACTTTTTTTAATTAAAGTATTTAATTTTAACTTGTAATACAAAAAATTTTTAATAAAAAAAAAAAACTCTTTCTCATATATAACATTTTTTTAAAAACATTTTTTTATAATAATTTTTTTTAAAATTAAAGAAAAAAATATTCTATTTGTTTTTTAATATTCACAAGTCCTCTATAACTTTCTAATTATTATTACAAAAGTCTTAAGAAATTCAAAAAATATACTAATATATTGAAATGAAATCTCTAATTAGAAAAAAAAAGTTTGAACATCTTATTTTCTTCTTGAATTATATAGAAAAGACTTACAACAATTGTTTTTTTATAAACTTTTCTTAAAGCTTTTTTTATTTTTTTCATTTTTATTAAAACACTTTTTATTATTATGCAAACTCTTTAAAATATTTTTGCTTTTTTGCTAGAAAACTTTTTTTCAATATAAAACTTAAAACTTTATATTAAAATTAGTTATATTGTTGACTTTAGAAACTAATAATATATATATAATATAACTTTCAATATTATTCAATATATTCTACTGTACTACATAAATTAAAAATTCTTTTTAAAAAATTTTATATCAAAAAATTATAATTAGTTTATTCCTGGTAACTAATTAATACTTTGTTTTTAACTAATCATACTTTATAAAACATATTATATTTATTAAAAATTAATATAAATAACTTTAAAAATAAAACTTATATAATCACATAACCTTTCACTATTAACAAATACCAAAACAATAATTATATTTTATTAAATATTAATTAAAAACAGTAACAATATATATTTACTATAAAATAATAGCTATTAAATTCAAACAATTATCAAAAAACTTTTTTAACAAGTTTGTTCTTTTTAAATAACAGCCTGGAAGTGGTTTATATTAATAGTAATTTAGGAGTAGCTTATATTAATTAACTCATACCTTGTTCGATCAATTATTAAATAAATAATAACAAAACCTTTATTATTACTATCATTAATTAACTATTGCTATTATATTTTATTAACCATTAAGGATTTATATTAATACTATTATATATTTTGAAAAGTAATCTAACTATTCAAAAAGTATATTAATATATATTTTATATACAGTATAATGCAAAAAAAACCAGAATTATATATTTACTTATAATTCAATAATCAATTAATTAAATTATATAAAACTTTATAAATAAGTTCTTTAATATCTTATCAATAAGTTTGTTATAAGCCATATATATAAATATAATAATAAGATTTTTTTTATTTCATGCTTAAATATAACAAAAGATAAAAAAAAATCAATTCACAATTTTTTTATATAGATTTTATAATAAAAAACTGTTTGGAAAATCATTCAAAAATTTTAATTCTATTTAAATTTTAAATA